ATTGGATCAAATCAGGTAATAGTAAAATATTAACCTTAAATTTCTTAAAAAATTAAATTGGATACATGCAGGGAAGAACTCTAGCTTGGATTACAGATGATGATCTCTTCAAACCTGGGTCCATCTACCTTTGGTGTTTGTGGGCCTTGGAAAAAATCTCAGAAATTAGATTTTTTTTTTTAAACTTGATTTCACAAACTTAATTGCTACATATCCCTGACAGTGAAGTTAATGGTTGCACGATGGTTTTTCTTTACTCAAACACTAGTAGAGGGCACCACTGCAATGTGATAGGACTGTTTATTCTGAGTTATATAAAAATTTAGGCCAGCAATTCAACCTGGATTAATCAGTGTTTTCCTCTCAAATATAAGGGTTTCACTGACAGCAAAAAAAGTTGGTGGTGAGGTTTTGTTTTTAAACTGAATTGTACTTGAAATGTATTTATGTTGACTTCTTAAAGCTGACATGCCAGGACTGCCTTTCTGAGGGCTGTGATATATAATGTAACATCAGCATTTTACTGAAACAAATTCCTCCAGGAATTTGTTTCACATGTATTCTGGCGTATCTCTACGTTCCATCTCTCCCCAAAAAAACAATACAACACCAAAACTAAAGAAATTCTGAACATTTGTTGAAAGAACAGCTGTATTAATCTTCTTTTTACAGGCAAAAATATTAAGTATTTCTTATTGCTTGATTAAAAAGTTGCTTCACTTTTCTTCTGATGAGTGCTATAGGTCCTGATACCTGCAGAGCAGAGCTATGCTAGCAATGTCCTAGAGGAGTGTTGAACAACACGGGCTTGAATAAGGGACAGCTACAGCTTTGAAAGGAAGTCCACAGTGGGTGATGCAAAATACGGAAGAAGGGCGTAGAGTAAGAACTGATGACAGTGATAAATGTTTCAGAAAAATGGCTGTGATATACAAGTAATACATAACATGTTGCACTTTTCTAGGTTACCTGGGTTTTGCTTGCTATTACTGTTAGTGGTTGGAGCCCTGCAGTTGCACGATTTTTCATTACAATGATACTATGGTCTGCTATGGTACTGAGATACAGTATGATGTGGTGGGCACTTGCAGTATTTTCCTACTTCCTTATATCTGAAGAAGTAATGTTCAGAGCAACTCTTTCCTCTTTGTGCTGATATAATTTCGACACCTAGTGGTACTAAGTGCAAATTACTGAAAGTTTGTTAATGGGAATACTATTTTACCAGCAGTAAATTCTTAGTAGAGGAGTGAAGCAAATCCTGTAGCTCAGCCAGAACGGAGTTAATTGTTAAACTAATGAAAAAATACAGTGAAGATTTTAAGAAGAAAGTATAACAGGTATTTTTTGCTCCTGTACTGTCCTTTCAGTTAGGGAAGAACAGGAAAAAGCTGTCAGTGACGCTCTCATACAAAAGCTCTGTGGGATAGGAATGGATTTGTTCAGTCACATCACACTGATGCTGAATAACAGAAAATATAGAGAAAAAGAAAGGTCTGGAGGGAAAGCAGTTGAGCAATTACAAGAGAAATTTTTCTGCTCAGTGTTAGTCAAGTTTGTAAGGATGACTGAAAGTTGCAGGAGGGTGTCACAAGAGTAGGCAATGAAATGGCAGGTAAAGTTAATTGTAGATCACTATAAAGTAATGGAAGTGGAGAACAACTATATAGCACATGCAGTCTCTCTCTCTTTTAATTACTTACAGTACAGATAACACAAAGATGCCTCTTCATTGTCACAACCTGTGCTGCACAGACCAGGGAGGGGTCATGGTGAGTTCAGAATGCCCTCGGGCTAAATTAAGGTAAAACAACACCAACCAGTCAGTTAAACGTTTTATTTATGGGAGAAGCAACCTGAACTTGGAAGACATAACAGCAGGTGGTGGGGTTTCTCACAACAGGAATTGCCATGAAACTACATCAGTAAACTGTGTAACAAGTGGTAACCATGTATATATCGATTCAGGGAAGAAAATAAGGACATCCCTCCTGTTGAGTCACAAGGTTCAGAGCAGACCCCCTTGGTTTCTGGACTTGTTCTCAGAGAGGAGCCCAGGGGCAGCTGGATCCACTCCTAGTCCCAGACTTGGTCAGTGGTTTTATGTCTAAAGGGATGAGGTGTGGAGGTTATGGAAAAAGAGAGAGAGAGAGAAAAGAGAAAGGTTCACCAGCCCTGGGTCCAGCGTTGGTCCCACCAGCCCAGAGGCCCACTTCTAGAGGGCGTGTGTCAATTAGTCAATTCGTGTCCTTTTATAATCTCCTTGCCCCTCCTTCATGGAGCACCTCCACTTCTCACCTGCTTCGTTTGGTTTTATGCAGGTTCGTTGTTATGCAGGACTTGCTCCACCACAATGTTTGAGACATTAACCCTTTCAGTCCCTTACAAGTGATGTTGCTATGCAGCCTTGCGAGCAAGTTCCATTCCTTCCCTCAACCGTAAAAGCCAGGTCCCGGTCTCTGCAGGCCCCAGTCTCTGTCCATTACGATGGGTGTTTGAGGCATTAACTCGGTCCAGTCTCTCACATTCATAAATCTAAGTTTTGGCAGCACCTTAGTATTTGAAATTTAGTACTCTATGTATATCTCAGAGGTAAACAGAATGGAGAAAGCTTCAACAGAGTCAAAGGGATGATCAAGCTATGAAGTATCACTCACCTGAAAACCGAATTGACCTGGTTAGGTCTCTCCAACCTAGAAAAAGTACAGCTGAAGGTGAATATGTGTGGTGGGTTGACATTGACTGACCTCCAGGTGCCCACCAAGCTGCTTTATCACTCCCCCTTCTCAACAGGACAGAGAAGAAAATATGATGAAAAAATTCATAGGTCAAGATAAGGACAGGGAGATCACTTACCCATTACCATCACAGGCAAAATGGACTTGGCTTAGGGAAATTAATTTAATTTATTGCCAGTTAATAACAGAAGGACAGTGAGAAATCAGAACAAATCTTTAAGCACCTTCCCCCCACGCCTCCCTTCTTCCTGGGCTTAACTTCACTCCCAAATTCTCTACTTCCTCCCCCTGAGCAGTACAGAGGTGTGGGGAATGGGGGTTGTGGTCAGATCATAACACTTCATCTCTGCTGCTCCTCCCTCTTTGTGCTCTTCCCCTGTTCCAGCCTGGAGTCCCTCTCACAGACTAGTCCTTCACAAACTTCTCCAATATCAGTCCTTTCCACAGGCCTCAGTTCTTCAAAAGCTGCACCAGTGTGGGTCCCTTCCATGGTGTGCAGTCCTTCAGGAGCAGACTGTTCCAGCATGGGTCCCCCGCAGGCCACAGGTCCTGCCAGGAGCCTGCTCCTGCATGGGCTCTCCATGGGCTGAAGCTTCCCTCAGGGCATGTCCACCTGCTCTGGCCTGGGGTCCTCCACGGGCAGTGTGGATATCTGCTTCAGTGTGGTCACCCATGGACTGCAGGGGGACAACCTGCTCCACCACTGTCTTCTCCATGGGCTGCAGGGGAATCTCTGCTCCAAAGTAGAAAGCAGAAGTGCCTGGAGCACCTCCTCCACCTCCTCACCTCCTTCTGCACTGACCTTGGTGTCTGCAGGTCTGTTTCGCTCACATTTCCTCACTCCTCTTGCACACAGCTCTTGCACAGCTTTTCTTACCCTTTCTTAAACGTGTTACAACAGAGGTGCTACCAACATCACTGATGGGCTCAGCTTTGGCCAGCAGTGGGTCCATCTTGGAGCCAGCTGGCCTTGGCTCTGTCAGACATGGGGGAAGCTTCTGGCATCTTCTCACAGAAGCCACACCTGCAGCCCCCTTGCTTACCAAAACCTTGCCATGTAAACCCAATACAATATGATAGAGGTGTATAAAATCAAGACTGTGTGGAGAAGGCGAGGGGTAGGGGAGGGGGCTAGATTTATTGAATACAAGAAACGGAAATGAAGCTGGTGGATCCAAGCTCTGGACAAATAATGTATCATGGGTGACAGAGCTCTGAAACTCCTTACTAAAATGTGTTGAGGATGCAAAAAGTTTCCATGGCTTTAAGGAGATACATGCCCAAGTACTTGAGAGATACAGTAGGGCTACCAAATAGGTAGGATTTAGCTAATGAACTTCTAAGCTAAGTCCTAACTTTTAAGATGCAGGGAGGGGTTTGTGGAGGAATTGTCATATATTCTGGCCCCTCTTTTTACTCTTGTCTTGGTCACCACTTACCAGCTTGGTTGGAGAGGGGACACTGCCTGAATGGACCCTTGAAATGAGTCAGAGCAGACATTTTTCGGTTGTCAGGCTAATAGGAAAGAAGAGAGGAACAAGGCTTATGTCCTGAAAAATGTTAGGAAATACATTGTTATGTCCTGTAAGTGGGCTTAAAGCAATATGTACGTGCAAAATATTATATGGATGATGTAAGTTCATATATGACTTTATAATATCTGTTTGTTGGGTTTTTTTAAAATAGAATCAATGATCCCCAGAGTAGCTGACAGTAATGAATGCATTTTTCATAATTTCAGTTAACATGTTTTCAATCAGTATTTATATAAGAATCAGTAGAAATGTGAAACTTAGTAATGCGGCCTAATGATAAAATTCTTCCCCAAGTTCAGGATTAGTGCAGGCTCTATTGTTAAGGTGTAAATGGTAGATAAACCCTGTACAAAGTTCCCAGTGTTGAAGAATTTGACCCTTGCACAAACAAAATTTCTTTCTTTTGTACTCATATACCTTACTTGTTTTCTAGTCTGACTTCTACCTACAGGATGCTTAGATTAAACATTGTAGGATGTATTATGATAAGATAGATATATATATATTTTACCAAAATCCCTCCCAAGCCCAGCAATGCAAATATTTTGAGTAAAACAATATAGATTATGGAGAACAGAAAATTCAGAAATGATACTACAGTTAATGGTGACCCTTATGATGCTCAGATAAGGTGCACATCCTTGTATACATATTTACAAATATTTTCAACTGGCAGGATTTGCAAATACAAACCTTTTTGTCTCTCTCCTCTTCCCCCCTCTCCCAGGCACAGGAGAAAGTGGCAAGAGTACGTTCATTAAACAAATGAGGATTATCCATGGATCAGGTTACACAGAAGAAGACAGAAAAGGCTTCACAAAACTGGTTTACCAAAATGTATTTACTGCCATGCAAGTGATGATCGGAGCCATGGATACTCTCAGGATACAGTACACATCCAGAGAGAATGAGGTAAGCCAGTACAAAGAAAATTCTAGTTGCAGGCCATGAAATTTCAGTTTTTACACAAATTATCTGAGTCATAACCTTCTACAGGCAGAACCTTAAAAATCCAGATGTCTCGTGGGGAGTTTGGTGCCCCACCGTCTGATTCTACAGAACAATGTGGAGTTCCTAGTGGAAAAAGGGGCAGGATGGAGCTGGATAGGAAGAGTGAATTTTCAAAGTTTCAAGCTGGTAATAAGTACAAAAAAAAAAAAAAAAAAAAAAAAGGTTTGTTTTTTGGAATCTAAGCTGTAGAGTTAGACTGTGCACAACAGGAATATTCAGACAGAGTCTAGTTTGTCAACAGAGCTCCAGAACGAGGAATTTTGGGTCTGTTGTAGGAAAACATCAGATCTACTTGATGCTGGTGTGCTTTGAAACATACCACCTAGAGCCCTTTTACAGATTTGGTAGCAACCTTTTTTAAATGACTTGAAAATGTAGAATGTCTTCCTCAACCATTCTTTAGTTTCAATCTATGTTATACAATTACATTTTTGGTTTCAGCGCTTATGATTATAGAACTATAAAGAAAAAAATCTGCTTCAGTTAAATCAGTTGCATCCTTTGCATCCATCTGTTGTATCAGTAGTTCAAGTATCATGAAGAATATGTAAGCAAATTATTGGTTGCTATTTGTTTAAATTAAGAGGGTTTCCAGTTGGCTAAATTTTACCATTAAGATAGGGAAGACTGTGTAGGAAGTAACAAAGCAGAACTAATTTCTAGAATTTATGTATTTATTAACTGAAGTACTATATGAAGAAAATACAGTTGATAGACTACTTTTTATTAAAAAACCACAATTGCATATGAACAATACAAACCCCAAAATTATGATCAGATTTTTTTAATATTTAAGTTGGTTTGTGTTATTTATTCTCCTTAGGGTTATAGAGAAGAGGGATAGAAAATGTTGTTTAAAATAAAGGACTGAGAAATTAAAATCCTTTTATTTTTTATCACAAAAGAATAGATGGTGTCAGCAAAAACAAATTTTGGATATCAGAGAGCTGCGGTATCAGGGTAACTCCTACCTAAAAAAATATTCTGAGGTTTAGTAAATTGTTGTTTGTAAAACACCTTTAGATCACTAAGAAGGCAGCTATTAGAGAAACAGCAAATGTGATTGTGAATATACTTCATCCTACTTCAGATGTGTATATTTTGATGAAAAATTATGATAATCAGAATCTGTTTGAAGAAATACATTTGCACTGCCTCTTACTGAGTTAGGGTGGGTTTTTTTTTTTTTCTTTTCTTCCCATTAAGAACAAAATACAAAGCCTAAATAAACAGCAAATTTTTTCTCGTTCTGGGCTCCGAGAGCTGAGCTGGATACATTCCCATAACACACTATTCTGGCTAAATTGTGTTCTTGATGATAGCTGTGCTGCCAGTGTCTTCAGATTCAGAAGATTATAATGCTATTTTACAGTTGTTGGAGAGAGGCAGAACTTGGTCTTTTGCTTCTTTATTAAAGGTAACAAAGCACTAAGCGGTAACAGCACAGTTTGGCAAGCTCAGCTTCAGTGGCATTTAGAAAGCAAAGTCATTTTTGCTTACACACGGAGAAACTCTTGAGAGACAACATGAAAATAACCATGAGTCGCTCCAGTCACTTTGCAGGAGACAACTGCATTTTAATCTTTCATTTAGGTGATGAATATAATGCAAAGTACTATAAATCTTGTAATTGCCTTTCATTAAAGGTCTTAAGCCTGTAATGAAAAACAGTTGACAACAACAGTGATAAACAGAGGAGTTGTGATTCTGCTGTCATAATTGTATTGCAAATGTGTGTCCAATGACTGTACAGAAATTGTTCAGTGTGCTCCTCCACATTTCAGTATGTCCATCTTCCCCACGGTATGCCTTCTTTTCCCTGAAAAATTTGTTTCCCTCTGGCCCATATATTAGTTTTTGTTAGTTTGTTTGTTTGTTTTTCCTGTATCCAGTTTGCTTTGACCAGGTCAGGTTTTCTCCTCTATGGGCCCTGGAATTCTCTGGCTGCTGCATAACTTCATTTAATGTTTTTGTAGTGAAGAACAGATTGTTCTGCACCGAGTGTCTCCTCCCTGTAAGTGTGACCTGTGAAAATTTGTAACTCATATATGGACAGAATGTCCCAAAAGGCCTCTTAATCCTTTTAATGTTTGCAAATAAAAGCAAGTTTTATAGATGGTGTTTAAAGAGGTTTCTTATTGCTGTTGTCAACTGCAAGTATTTAAGTAAATGGTCTGACTTTGTATAGATGCTGCATTGAGATGGGGAGGGGTTTTTGTTTTGGATGGGTTTGAAGTTGCTTGGATGAAGTACTTGTATAGTCATGCTTGACCTTTAACTTTAACTCAGCAGTCAATTTTTATCCTAATTTCAGGTATTGTGTTCTCTGGGATAGTTTGTCTCATCCAGTTGAAGTTGGAAGGTATCATAGCATGTTTTGGGTATATTTTAAACATAAATCCTGCAGATATTTAGGAACCTAATAATTCAAGGAATTATTATAGTACTATCTAAACCCCATGGTTTTGGAATGGATTGTTTGATTTTTAATTTTTTTTTTCCTTCTTTTTTCCTGTTGTAACCACTCTATAAAATATGGGGCTAGGGGTGAACTACTTGGGGTGTGAGGTGGAGGAAGTAATATTTATTATCTATATGTCACTTTTTTCAATGTCATAGAGTGGAAATTGGTAAATTGAGTGTTGGTTAAGTAGCCAGTCACAGTACAACATGATTTACAGTCTCTGAGGATAGTCTTTTTGTGTGAGGGCTTGAATCAACTACTTCTACAAACACTTCGTCTTTCCGTGTGATAATAGAGACTGCCAAAAAGCAAGCTGAAAGTTAATGGCAGCCTGTCTCTTGGCTTCTCTGAGATATTGTGATGGAGTTAATGTGAATATTAAGATAAGTGAATGAAAGAAGGAATGTACATATGAGGCATAGAGAAATAAAAAATCAGCTGATAGCTGGGAAGTAGTGAAAGCACTTTTTCTCTGTCTGGATTTTTTTTTAATCAACTTAAAATCAAAGTGTAGGAAAAGAAAACTTCAAACAGGAAGAGGAAAAAATCAGGTGATATTGGACGAAGGGAAAATAAGCATTCCATTTGTAAGTATACATCAAACTTAAAAGGCAGATTTAAAAATATTTCTTGGTTGCTTGACTGTGCCGGGGAGTCACATCTTGCTGGATTATATTATTTTTTGCTGTATTACAAATATGCAGAAGAAACAAGTTGTTTAAGCCTATTGGAACTGGAGATGCAGCAGAGATTTTAAAATATTAGTTCACTGGAACTTTTCCCTGATCTTCCAAAGTAGGATGTATCCTATATCACAGGAGGATCACTCTTTTCCTTCTCCACTCAAGGCAACATTAGAAATTTAAATTTATTTGCATTTAAAAAAAAAATTATGCACTTAGCCCACTGCAAAGACCTTTTTATATAGCTGTTCAGGATGAGGATCATAGAATAGGAATTCAGTCCTGTTGTTGTGGGTTGGTTTGTTTTTTAAAATACCCTGGTAAGATGACATTGCATATGTTTGCAATTAACAGATCTTTGTAGCACTATGAACAATTACTTTCTTCCTAAGGAGAAAAACAGAATAGTGTGTAAAAAATGCATTTCAGAAAGAGGTCATCACGTTGCATCTCCAAAACATTTCTTGCTTTTAGTAAGTAGTAATCTAGTGTCCTGTCTTACCAAGTTGCCCCAGCATGAATGTGTGTCAGCAAAACTAACATTTTTCTGAACAAAAGAAGTAATACAATGCCAAATGAATTTTACAGGACAGGTAATTAACTTATGTCAGAAAAGGGGAATGCAAAAAGACAAGTACAGTAAGATGAGATTTGGGAATTACTGAAGGAAACCATGTAGCTGGGACAAATGGAAAACATAGTGAAGAGTAATTATTGGTTGCTTTCATTGCATGTTTGCATTTGAAGATGTGGAAAATGGTGTAACACAATTCTTTCTTCTTTTAATTTTTTAAACCTTAGCAGAGAAACCATTGCTCATAGCAGGTGATTTATTTTAAAAGTAACCTGGTGGTATTAACATTACCTTATGCTTTTAAAAGTGCTTTTTTATGACAATCAAAATTAACTTTAAAGATGCAGTACTTTGGTAACTGATTTTCATTGTGCTAACATTAATGCAGGTGATAAAGGGCTAGAATTTATAGACAGTCTAGGTGTATTTTTAGCAGTTTATTTTATAGATACACTAATTCAAAACATTCCAAAACATATTGCTTCCCTCTTCATAACAAATATGTTTAATTATGGGCCAATTCACAGAGACTGAGTCTAGGCACTCACAAACAGAGGTTTCACTTTGATTTTCCAAGGAAATGAGACTGATGTGACCATATTAATTCTATCTGTCTTTGGACCTCCTGTCTGATTTCTGCTGCATTCCACAGAGAGGTTGAAGTTAAAGAGCTAAAATTCTTGGCTTCAGAGAGTTTACTGCTGCTAGACAGTTAAAAACAGACAAAGTAGAAAGCTTCTCCAAGTAACCCAACTGAAGTAAAAGCAAAGAATCAACAGAGGAAAGCCTCCTTTCAAAGTACCTGTGGGAGGGACTGGTGTTCACTCGGTCACAAAATGTGATTTAGCTGCCCATGCATGAGCAAGTAGCATCATACGCTTAGACACTTGGGCACAAAACATTAAACCTTCTGCTTCCTCCCTGGAAGGGTGTAGATTTTTCTTGTTATTTTGTGTTTTGTAAGTTATTTTTTGAGTGAGAACATGGCCTCATTCTAAAGCAAGGAGATTAAGTATCCACTCTGGGGGATTAAATTTGTGAGCTGCTTTACACACACAAATATAAAACATTAATACTGGTTTAAATGCTCTCCACATGGAAGTCAGGAAGGAAATTTTCCGCTTCTTAGGTGACAACCTTCCCTGCCACACGAGATGTGCATGTACTCGGTTGGGACTGT